AGAGAGAGGAAGAGAGAGGGGAAGAGAGAGGGAGAAAGAGAGAGAGAGAAAGAGAGAGGGAGAGAGAGAGCGAGAGAGAAAGAGAGAGAGAAAAAATCAGACAGCTGCTTGGTGAAAACAGAAAAATGTTCCGAAGTAGCAAAGAAACGACGGATTGATCCAAATCCATTTTGATCTCCCATATCTCTCATATTTGAGCGGTAATAAAGCTGAACTTAAGATCTCTCTTTATCTCTACTCATCGAGACAGGTAAAGTGATAAAACTCCTGGAATAATGGAGAAATTTCTGGGCAACGAAATCAGCAGTCTAATAACTGGCAAATTCTGGACAAAAAAATAATAAGCTACTGGTTTCTGGGGGGGGTAGAAAACCCCAATTCATTTATTATTGGAATCTGAAAGGTTTCATCAGGATTAACACTCCTGTTATTCCGTATAAATACATGGCTGGAAAAAAAATACGATAAAGCAGCCTATTGATTTAAAGCCAGAAATATTTCTATCCCCCCCCAAAAAATATAGTAAGGGAAATGCATATTTAGTTATTCACATATTAACGAGAATTGTATTTGCGCAAAGCTGGAAAAGTGAAGAGATACCTAGAGATGAGAATGTGGTTAGGAAAATATTAGAATGCGCAGAAATGAATAGACGAACGTTGGCAATTAAGGAGAAAGAGCAAACGGTATACTATACGACACGGGATTTATTTTATCGATGGGTTAAACAACAAAACTGGAAGTTAGAAGCAGGAAAAACAAAATTAAGAAGATATTATGATCGGCAGGTTGAATATTATTCCTTTCATGCTGTTAGAATTAATACCAATGTAATGAATGATGCTGCAAATTTGGATGACGGTTCAACAAAGGTATTTGTGTGCCCAGACGGCACGCTGTTCCAGTGAAGATGGAATAATAATAATAATAATAATAATAATAATAATAATAATAATAATAGAGAAAAAGATTAATGCTCCCGTGTTGTCGTTGTTTTTAAAGAAAATGGCACCCACTTTAGTAGAGGATGGGAATGCAGTGGATAAACTACGCCTGAAAGCATTCAAAATAATATGGGACGATATTATGATTTAGCAAAGGAGTTACTATGGGCACGGCTGTTAGGGGGTGCAAATCATAAACCCCAGTTGCACGACTGAGGAATGCTGCAAATGTCCACAAATACAATCTGGTTGCCAAGGGCCCACAATGCGATGACATAAATTCAGGGGCATAGTGGAGTGGCCAGCCCGTCACAACTTTAAATCCAGGTTGTAAGTAGTTTCAAGGGAGTCCTTGACTTACAACAGTTCATTTGATGACTTAATGAAAGTTACAATGGCACTTATGACCATTAGTGATTTGCACCAGTTCAGCTGAACCAGTAGTAAAAAAAAAAAACCCTCCAGGATCAGCTGAGAGGTTAAAAGGCCAAAAAGCTACCGATTCGGACTGGTTCAGCTGAGCTGGTAGTAAAAAAAACCCCTCCACATCAGCTGAGGGGATAAAAGGCCAAAAAGCTACTGGTTTGGACTGGTTCAGCTGAACCGGTAGTAAAAAAAAAACCCTTCCAGAATCAGCTGAGAGGATAAAAGGCCAAAAAGCTACCGGTTCGGACCGGTTCACTTGAACCGGTAGTAAAATAAACAACCCTCCAGGATCAGCTGAGAGGATAAAAGACCAATAGGGGTGGTTGGGTCACACCTAGCTTTTCGTTTCCTCAACCTCTCAGCTTTCTGGCTTGTTAGGGATGTGCACATTATGGATGCGCGCGTGTGCACCCAAACCCCACCGAACCAATATCGACTAAGTCAGAATCCCACTACTAAGGACCATGTCACACACGTCTGACCCCTGGTAGCACCCCCCTGGTCCATTCAGGTGCTTGGCGGCTGATTCGCCCTTACGACGGCTGCCACGATCCCTTTCCCCGCCGCGTTGTGACCGAATAAGTGCAATGATTCACTTAACGGCGGGCGGCGAGGAGGCAAGCCGTCCCAATTGGGGGTGGTGTTGGGGGCCAAAATCGGCTTTGCCAACGTTCTCCCTTAAGCTGCCACCTATGTTTTGGGTCTCCCGCACAGACGTAGGGCTCCCGGGGTCTCTTGCAAGGTTGGTTGCTAAGCGAGCGTTCGCACGAGGAGGACTCTCCCTCCCACTTCATCCCGAAATCGTCCAGGAGTTCCAGGAAAAATGATTGACGGGGATTTTGGAGAATGGAAGAGGAAGTGAAAGTGCCCAGGAATTTGTCTCCCCTCCCCTTCCCCCCCTCTTCTCCTCCCCCACCCCAGTCAGGAGGGAGGGAGGAACTTCCTCAGAGCCCCGAATATTTGGAACGAAAGCGAGAAAGAGGAACAAACCCCCCGTCACCTTCCATCACAATCTCCTCTTCAACAGCTTCTCCCGGAAACCGACCGGTGCTCCCTTGCTCAGGGTCCACGATGAAGAAGAGCCCCGGGGCCACAGCGAACTCGGGAGCAGCCACCTCCACTGCGGACATTAAAAGGTGAGTTTTGAGCCCTGGGGGGGGGGGGGCTTTCCTTCCGGACCAACCCATTGATTAGATGAATTTAACAGGGTGGGAAGGGACCTTGTAGGTCATCTAGTCCAACCCCCTGCCCTCAACTATTGGAAGGCTGCTCTCCTGTCTCCCCTGGTCCTTTTGTTCCTTAAAATCAGATGAAAGTCAGATTAACAGAGTTGGAAGGGACCTTGTAGGTCATCTAGTCCAACCCCCCCGACCTCAAATATTGGAAGATGCTCTCCTGTCTCCCCTGGTCCTTTTGTTCATTACAATCAGATTAAAGTCAGATGGACAGAGTTGGAAGGGACCTTGGAGGTCATCTAGTCCAACCCCCCCCCCCCCGCCCCCAAATATTGGAAGACTGCTCTCCTGTCTCCCCTGGTCCTTTCGTTCATTACAATCAGATGAAAGTCAGATTAGCAAAGTTGGAAGGTACCTTGGAGGTCATCTAGTCCAACCCATCACCCAAGCAGGAGATTCTATACCCTTTCTGACAAATGGCAGTCCAGTCTCTTCTTTTTTTACATTGTGTGGTAACCAAATCATCGTTTGCTAAGCCAACTTCACTGCCCTCGCTTGCACCCTGTGCTGAAGCAGGACATTGAAGAGGGAGTTTGCAGGGTAGCCTCAGTCCTCAACCAGCCAGAGGTTGTGGGGGGGGTGTCTCCAAATGTGGCCCCTTTAAGACGTGTGGACTTCAACCCCCAGAATTCCCCAGGAGGCCATGCTGGCTTGAGGAATTCTGGGAGTTGAAGTCAATAGGTCATAATAGGACAGGGACAGCTGGCTGGGGAATTCTGGGAGTTGAAGTCTTAACAAGTCTTAAAGGGGCCACGTTTGGAGACATCCCCACCCCACCCCCGACCTTAGTGCATAATTGCGCTTCGCTCCCGGTGGGCCTGCAGGACTCCAGCTCCCATTGTCCTCAGCCAGGGGCGTCCACCAAGCCTGGTCCAAAGAGTCAAGATGGCCGAGCTTCAATGGCAGGTTTTCAGCTGGCATCTGGACTTGTTTTGGCCACCACCCTGGCAAGCATGGGTGCCGGGAGCCGGGGATTATGGGAGCAGAAGCTCTTTAGCTGTTTACTCCCAATTCTATCCTGGTGAGCTTCCAATTCTGGAAATCTTTGAGGTTTATTCCTCCCTTCCTTTCTACCTTCCTTCCTTCCATCCATCATTCCTATCTTCCTTCCTTCTTTCCTTTCTCTCCTTCTTGCCTTCCTTCCTTCTTTTCTTCCTTCCTATCTTCCTTTCTTTCCTGTCTCTCCTTCCTTCCTTCTTTCCTTTCTGTCTCCTTCCTCCCCTCATTCCTTCTTTCTTCCTTTCCTTTTTCTCTTTCCTTCCTTCCTTCTTCCCCTCTCATTCCTTCCTTCCTATCTTCCTTCCTTCCTTCTTTCCTTTTTCTCTCTGTCCTTCCTTCTTTCTTTCTTTTCTCTCTCTTTCCTTCCTTCCTTTTTTCCTTTCCCTCTCATTCCTTCCTTCCTTTCTATCTTCCTTCCTTCTTTCCTTTCTCTCTCCTTCCTATCTTCCTTCCTTCCTTCTTTCTTTCCTTTCTCTCTCCGTCCTTCCTTCTTTCCTTCCTTCCTTCCTTCCTTCCTTCCTTCCTTCCTTCCTTCCTTCCTTCCTTCCTTTTTTATTCCTTCACTTCCCTTCCCTTCCTTTCTCTCTCCTCCCTTCCTCCCTCCCTTCTATCCTGCCTTTCCTAATGCCCCCACTTCTAAGGGGATCTTTCTCAACCTTTGCCACTTGAAGATGGGTGGATTTCCACTCCCGGAATTCTGGCTGGGGGAATTCTGGGAGTTGAAGTCCAGCCAACTTCAAGCCACGAAAGGTTGTGAAACACCGAGCTGCTTCCAATTTACAGTGTGTGTTTATTTTTTAATTTTGGCAAATTGTACACACTGGAACGAAATAATATTGACAGAGCAAAGGTCCCGTGGGGAGAGGGAAGGACAAACGTGGCCCCATTGCTTATTCCTGCAGGCTGGTCCCTCCTGCTGAGGCCAGTCCTACTTTCGGAGAAGCTTATAGTGCCGAACCGTTGCTGGGCCCAAACTTTGCCCGGGACAGTCGCCTAACCACGGTTGGCAGGTGTGGCCTGCAGGTGCCACGGAGGAAAGAGAAGTGGGAACGGGGCACCATGGCAACTTCCGTGGTCAAGTGAGTAGCCAGGATGTGGTCAGGGCCTTCCTCCCCCTCCCCCCCCAATCCCCGAGTCCCAAAGAGAGACGCACCGCGGGGCGAATCACGGAATCACGGAGTCGGAAGGGACCTTGGAGGTCATGTAGTCCAACCCCCTGCTGAAGCAGGAGGCTCTGGAGAAATGGAGGCCCGATCTCTTCCTAAAAGCCTCCCCGGATGGAAGCAGCAGCCCATACTTTCTGGTGGCCAGCAGTTCCACGGGTTAATTCTCCTCCCTGTTAGGAAGTTTCTCCTTAGTTCCAGTTGCTTCCCTTCCCCCCCCCACCCCGTTGCTTCCGGTCCTGTGCGGGGTTGGACTAAATGACCTCCAAGGTCCCTTCCCACTCTTGTTATTCTAAATTCGGTTGTCCTGCCTTCCTCTTCTTTCGGGGGGTGGGGGAAGACGGTGTAATTCAAGGTTTTCTAGGTCTAGAATTTCGAGTCTGGTGGCATAAGGTCTTCTGCAACGAGTAGAGGAGTGGAGAACTCTTCTTGTGAAATATTTCTGGACTTTCTCAACTGCGTTAATATCAGATACATAATGCGGGTTCCAGACTGATGAGTTGTATTCAAGTATTGGTCAAGCAAATGTTTTGTATGCACTAGTTAGTACTGTGGACATAACATATTTAGATTTCAGCAAGGCATTCGACAAAGTAGACCACAACCTACTTCTTAGTAAGCTAGAAAAAGGTGGAACAGATAGCACCACCACTAGATGGACTCGCAACTGGCTGGCAAACCCTACTCAACGAGTAGTCCTTAATGGGTCTAAGTCTACATGGAGGGAAGTAAGCAGTGGGGTGCCACAAGGTTGCCTCTTGGGCCCAGGACTCCTCAATATCTTCATTAACGACTTAGAGGAGGGAATAGAAGGGGAACTGACCACATTTGCAGATGATACTGAGCTGGCAGGAATAGCCAACACCCAAGAAGATGAGCTCAAGATCCAGAGGGATCTTGACAGACTTGAACCCTGGACCGTATCTAACAAAATGAAATTCGATGTAGAGAAAAGTAAAGTCCTACACTGAGGCAAGAAAAACCAAAAGGACACATATAGACTGGGTGAAACCAGGCTCAATAGCAGGGACAGTGAGAGGGATCTTGGGAGTCTTAGTGGACAACCAGCTAAAGAGGAGCCAGCCATGTGCAGCTGCAGCCAAAAAAGTTAATGCAATCCTAAGTTGTATTAACAGAAGGATACAATCTAGATCAAGTACTAATACCCCTCTGTAAAGCCTTAGTAAGGCCACCCCTGGAGTACTGCATCCAGTTTTGGTCACCGCACTGTAAAAAAAGATTGTTGACGCTCTAGAAAAAGTGCAGAGAAGAGCAACCAGGATGATGAGGGGACTGGAAACTAAAACATTTGATGAACGGTTGCAGGAACTGGGCCTGACTAGTCTACGGAAGAGAAGGACCAGGGGAGACAGGAGAGCTATCTTCCAATATTTGAGGGGCGGGGTTGGACTAGATGACCTCCAAGGTCCCTTCCAACTCTGTTAATCTAACTTTAATCTGATTTTCATGAACAAAAGGACCAGGGCAGGAGGATAGGAGAACAGTCTTCCAGTATTTGAGGGTGGGGCGGTTGGACTAGATGACCTACAAGGTCCCTTCCAACTCTGATTATCTGTTACCTATTCTATTCTATTCTATTCTATTCTATTCTATTCTATTCTATTCTATTCTATTCTATTCTATTCTATTCTTATTTCTATATTCTATTCTTATTTCTATTCTGTTCTATTCTACATTCTATTCTATTATTCTATTCTGTATGGGGTTGGACTGGATGACCTCCAAGGTCCCTTCCAAGTCTGATGATCTGCCTGTCCCACCCCCACTACAATTTCTCCCACCCACCCTCCCTCCCATCCACCGACCCACTTCTGCCCCTTTCTCCCAGCATGGACGCTTCCGAGGCCCCCATGCCGTCCGAGACGTACGAGAACTACCAGCCGGCCAATGTTGAGAAGGAGTACGAAACGCACTTCGAAAAAGGTACTCGGAAGCAGATTCGAATCCTACACCGTGGGGGTGGGGGCAGTGGGGCGTGGGTGGGGGAGTCCGCCGGTTTCACGATTGGTTTGGCGAGATAAATCAGCTACATGGCGCGATTGAAATGAGCTACAAAGCAGGACAGGAAACTAGAACTGAGGCGAGGATTTTAGCTAATATTGTAAAATAAGATACGAAAACATGAACGGGGACTGGATAAGATGAGCTTAATATTTAATAATGACAAGGGTGATGCAATAGGAAATTAAGCAAATAAAATGAATAGGTAACCATAGTCATGTTTGCATCGAGAGGCGAAACCTGGAACCACGTGGCTTGCCAAATGGGAACTTTTCATTTAAAAAATAAATACAATGAAAACGGGGAGAAAATTGAATCATGGAATTATCAGGTGCCGTTTTAATTGAGAGGGCGGTGGGCGTTTGGAGAGAGTAAGGTTGAAAATAAATATTGAAGAAGTATGAACGAATAGGAGTAGAAGGCAAGCAGAGATGTATGATATACGGATGCCACGCTGTTAATGTATCGTTGTTATATGTAGATTGAAATAAAAAATAAAAAATTGGGGGAAATAAAAGGACAGGATAAGCTGATCATCGGCACGAAACTCGGCGAGCTGGAAGCATTTCACCACCCGTTGGTGGGGTGGAACCCAGGGTGGCAGGACGTCTTAGAGATTCTCGCACCTTGTTCCTCTGACCCCAACCCACACACCCACCCTGCAAATGTCCATTTTTGATCCTCGAAGGATGGGTAGGTGTGTGTGTGTGTTGTGTCTTCAGGACAACCTTCTCTTCCCGCACAGACTTCCCATTGTCGAAGCCGCTCCTGCAACGTTTCTGTTCCACCAGCCGGCTCCTTCTGGTCTTAATGGTGTTCAGCGGTGCGCTCATCCTCTCGGTCAGCATCCTGGGCATTCAAGGTGAGGACGAAGCCAAGACACCTGGCTTGGGAAAGGCCCTAAGGGAGGAGGGGAAGTGGGAGAAGGAGTGTCGCAAGGCAGGAAGTCAACGGGACAAGAGGAATGTGGGTTGGTCCATGTGAAAACCCCAAAGCTGCTGGGATGGTTCTCAACGGAGACAATCGTTGTGTTTTGGGTTTTAATCTGAGTATTGGGTGTTGTAGGAATCGGCCAAAGCACATCATCTAGTCCAACCCCACCTATAAGTAGTCCTTGAATTACAATCATAATCGAACCCGTAGTTTCCGTCCTAATTGACAGTGGATTTGAAGAAGGAAAACGTAGATTGGTCCATGTGGGAAGCCCAAATTGCAGTCACCTATGGGATGGCAATATATTCAAACAACTGCTGTGGGTTGTTGTTTTGTTTAACCTGGGTTTCAGGTGTTGTAGGAATCTCTCTGTATAAGAGTGAAATGCATCATCATAAAATCTCCAGAACCGTCAAGCCTACGGACTTGAAATTGGGCACGGATGTTCCTCTTAGCTTCTAGGGGCCTCTGTTCTGTTTTTAAATTGCTGAATACAAAAACAGTTAGATAAACTCTACCGAGGCTTCCATACAACGTTTCTTGGTTGGATCATAAGGCATCCTCAAGGTATAACTCACGGTTACGTCGAGATTCATCTAACGTCCGGATCTTTGCATAGATGACTTCATAGTGTGAAAATATGGTTATCTTCATCCCATAATGATACCGCAAAGGAAGCTCCAACACGCTGCTGGGTCCAGGCGTGAGTGAACAAAGTCAATTCAGTGACCAATCAGGATTACAGAGGTGACCACATGACATGAACTACATCTCCCATGAGGCATTAACTACATTTCCCGTGAAGCATTCCCTTAAGGGGACAGCTCCCATTCCCAACTATATATATATATACTGTTTAACCAGCACAGGCTCACTAACAAAGGATTTTTCTAAATGACCATCAGAGCATTAGTATTTCCTATATTTATTATTATTATTATCATTATTATTGTTGTTGTTGTTGTTATGCTCTGATGCTAAGGAGTTCTACTCCCCACCTGAAAAGAAATCTCTTCCAAAGGCAAAACACAAGCAGAGGAGAGGAGTTTCAGTTTCATAGCAGCCAACCAGCTTTAGTACAGAACAGTTGAGCTAAGCCACGCCCAGGCTCCTTGCTGTCTCCTTCTTGCTCACGCAGCAAACACTGTTTAAGTTTCCAAACAGCCCTCTACTCTCTCGCTCTCTGCCTAAAAAAAAAAAAAAACTGTTCCAACTGCAGTTGAGCTAAGCCACGCCTCGGGCTCCTTGCTGTCTCCTTCTTGCTTGCCCAGCAAATACTCTTTCAGTTTCCGAACAGCCTTCCACTCTCTTGCTCTCTGCCTGAAAATCAATCTGTCCCAACTGCCGTTGAGCTAAGCCACGCCCCGGGCTCCTTGCTGTCTCCTTCTTGCTCGCCCACCAAATACTCTTTCAGTTTCCAAAGAGCCCTCCACCCTCTCCCACGCTTGAGAGGACGCTAGCTAGATGAATGCTGGGAGGCGGAGGCAGAATTTATTCCCCTCCTGGTTTTCCTCCCCCCAAAACGAAGCCCTGCCGCACAGTCACCCCACTCCCTCAGATTTGCTTCCTCCTTTCCTCTCTTTACTCCAGATTTTCAGTTCAGCAAAAGTCTCCAAGGAACTCAGGCAGGCGTGGAGAATATTACTCAGAGGATTAAGCAGCAGCTCAGCAGCCTCAAAACCAAAAGTAAGGAGCGGGAGAGGAGGGGGAGGGGACAGAAGCAGCATGCAAGCCCCCCCCCCGCCACCCTTTCCTTCTCCCGCCCCGCCCCCAGCGACACAGGGGTGGGATTCAAATTTCTTCACCACCGGTTCTGTGGGCGTGGCCTAATTGGTGGGTGCGGCTTGACGGTCATGTGACCGACTGGTCATGGCTTGTATGTAAATAGTGTAAATATTTTTTTTTTTTTTTTAAAAAGAGCAACTTTTACCCAAGATCAGGCAGAGCAGGCTGGCAGATTGAGTTGCTCGCAGAATCACAGATTCATTCAGAGATCTATCTTTCTGCCATCTGCTACCTGAGTCTGCACTGAAAAATAGAAGCTTCGGTCCTAAGGGAGGTTCAGCTCTGCTTTTAGATTAGCTAGAAAGCGAGAAATCCAACAAATTTCCTGCTTTGTAGCGAATCTAAATCTCCCAGCACAGCAGAACGGATGATGTTCGGGGAAGGAAAAAAAAGGAAAAATAGAAACTTAGCAGGTGTTTTTCAGAGCTATGGTAGCATCCCATCCCTAGGGCTACACTTTCCCAGGTGGGATATGGAATCCACTGGCGTGGGGGGCGTTGGATGGGGCCAGCTTTCTCTTGGGGAGGGTCATAAGGAGGGGTGTGATTTCTGCCAAGGGAGGAGGGGTCCTCCTTCTCGGTTCAGGGACCGTGGGAATGGGCCGCCCACCCCACTCCAACCGGACCCTCTTTCTTGTCCCCTTTAAGGGAACAGCACTGAGGGGAGACTGGAGGAGCTGAAGAAAATGTTGGAAAAGGAGGTCGATCGGATGTTGCACGGTCAGCTGGGGTGCAGTTGTATGTGTGTGTGTGTGTGTGTGAGAGAGAGAGAGAGACTTAGGGTCCCTATATAGGAATAAGGGAGGCTCTCACTGTTGTCTTCCTCCAGTGTCACAATCCCGGGGACGCAACCGCTGCTTTCAAAGTCAGGAGGTTTCTGGGAGAGGATGCTAGCAACTTTTTTAAAAAAATAATTAAAAGGCAGCTGCTTTCATGAGCCAGCTCCCCTGGCACCTGTGACCGCCCCAGGCAACCTGTCTCCCCCCACACACACCTTTTCCCCCTCCCCAATATAATCCCCTCCATCAGCCTAGTCTCACCAAGCACCAATAAAGGGAGCTGTTGCGGTCGCAGCTTCTCATTAAAGCACCCACTTCCGAACCAAATGCCTTAGTGTATGTGTGTGTGTGTGTGTGTGTGTTTTAAGCCATCAATTAACACGTTGTTTTTCAAACTTGGCCACTGGAAGCTTGGGGGGGGGGACTTCAACTCCCAGAATTCCCCCAGAATCTTCCCAGAATTCCCCCCAGCCAGCATGCCCCCCCCCC